GCCTAGTTCATTATAATCAGTGTGAGAATCATTTTAAACATAATCAACTTCAAAACCAAACTTTCTGAATATAATGGAGACAGCCATTTATCTGTAGATAAAAATCACGTTTTTCTGAAAAATGTCAAAAGCAAAGAAATTATTATTTTATCCATTATCTTTTTCTTTTGGTATTCCTTCTGTTGAGATATATATATATGATATATATATATATCATATATATGGTAAGATGTTTATAAGAATATAAGTGAATATTTTAAGGAAAAAAACTACAGGTGACCATGAAGTCTGGCAATAGTGACAATGTTTTTAAAATAGAATCCCCTTCATTGCTTCATCTAGGATAAAGGGCAAGTTTATACTATGGAAACTGGATCCGCAAGTCACTTGAAGCAACATATGACAGATGCAGGTGCAATGACTAATGAGAACGCTGCTTTATTGCACACTGTTCATTACAATTGTGCAATTTATTAAACTATACATTGCTAGTGAGGGACAATGCATTCATACACCAAAGCAATAAACTATTTATTACAGATGTTTGTTTATGTTCTGTTTTCAGCTTATTCAACTTAAATTCAAACAACTGAATAATAATCAAATTGAAAAGGAAATAACGCACTTTGCAAACCATTTCCTGTGTGGAATTTTTCCTAATTTGTCCCATTTTGTTAATATCATGAAATTCACCTGCATAACTTTCACTGCAAACAAATACCACCCTGTAGAATACTACAGGACATCCATGACCACATTCCATCACACTGTGATTCAATGAAATTATAAGGAAGTAAGGTTGAAAATTAATTATAAATTTGTAAATCATGGAAAATACAAGAAGGGATTTTTTTGTTGTTGAAATAGTTAGGCCCAAAAGGGGCCTAAATGATGGGATGATACTGTCATCCTGATAGATAATCTAACTCAACAATGATAAATGTGCAACAGTTATGATCAATGTAAATTTTAGCAAGGCAAGGAAAACTAGTTGTTTATGAGCAGTGAGAAAGATTATATATTATCAGTAAAGGGTTCCCTTTGGAAAGGGCTGGATATACAATATGAGGATTTTGATGACTGTTGGATATTTTGTGTACGTTAATGCACACTTTGATTATTATGTACATTTTCTTCCAATCTGATGTGAAGAAGTTCCTTCAGGTAATTTTATTAGGCCATGTGTATATATCAGGCATAGGTGAAAAGATATCTTCTATAAAATTCCACACTATTTGAAGCAAAGTGTCATTTTTTAGCCCTGTAATGAACATAAAATAGAGCCTGCCTGCATCTTGAAAACTGTATGTTTTATTTTTTTTTTAATTTTTTTCATTTATTTTTATTAGTTGGAGGCTAATTACTTTACATCATTGCAGTGGTTTTTGTCATACATTGAAATGAATTAGCCATAGATTTACATGTATTCCCCATTCCGGTCCCCCCTCCCACCTCCCTCTCCACCTGATCCCTCTGGGTCTTCCCAGTGCACCAGGCCCGAGCACTTGTCTCATGCACCCAACCTGGGCTGGTGATCTGTTTCACCCTAGATAATATACGTGTTTCGATGCTGTTCTCTTGAAACATCCCACCCTCGCCTTCTCCCAGAGTCCACAAGTCTGTTCTATACATAGGAGTCTCTTTTTCTGTTTTGCATATAGGGTTATCGTTACCATCTTTCTAAATTCCATATATATGTGTTAGTATACTGTAATGGTCTTTATCTTTCTGGCTTACTTCGCTCTGTATAATGGGCTCCAGTTTCATCCATCTCATTAGAACTGATTCAAATGAATTCTTTTTAATGGCTGAGTAATATTCCATGGTGTATATGTACCACAGCTTCCTCATCCATTCGTCTGCTGATGGGCATCTAGGTTGCTTCCATGTCCTGGCTATTATAAACAGTGCTGCGATGAACATTGGGGTGCACGTGTCTCTTTCAGATCTGGTTTCCTCGGTGTGTATGCCCAGAAGTGGGATTGCTGGGTCATGTGGCAGTTCTATTTCCAGCTTTTTAAGAAATCTCCACACTGTTTTCCATAGTGGCTGTACTAATTTGCATTCCCACCAACAGTGTAAGAGGGTTCCCTTTTCTCCACACCCTCTCCAGCATTTATTGCTTGTAGACTTTTGGATAGCAGCCATCCTGACTGGTGTGTAATGGTACCTCATTGTGGTTTTGATTTGCATTTCTCTGATAATGAGTGATGTTGAGCATCTTTTCATGTGTTTGTTAGCCATTTGTATGTCTTCCTTGGAGAAATGTCTGTTCAGTTCTTTGGCCCATTTTTTGATTGGGTCATTTATTTTTCTGGAGTTGAGCTGGAGGAGTTGCTTGTATATTTTTGAGATTAATCCTTTGTCTGTTGCTTCGTTTGCTATTATTTTCTCCCAATCTGAGGGCTGTCTTTTCACCTTGCTTATAGTTTCCTTTGTTGTGCAAAAGCTTTTAAGTTTCATTAGATCCCATTTGTTTATTTTTGCTTTTATTTCTAAAATTCTGGGATGTGGGTCATAGAGGATTCTGCTGTGATTTATGTCAGAGAGTGTTTTGCCTATGTTCTCCTCTAGGAGTTTTATAGTTTCTGGTCTTACATTTAGATCTTTAATCCATTTTGAGTTTATTTTTGTGTATGGTGTTAGAAAGTGTTCTAGTTTCATTCTTTTACAAGTGGTTGACCAGTTTTCCCAGCACCACTTGTTAAAGAGGTTGTCTTTTCTCCATTGTATATCCTTGCCTCCTTTGTCAAAGATAAGGTGACCATAGGTTCGTGGATTTATCTCTGGGCTTTCTATTCTGTTCCATTGATCTATATTTCTGTCTTTGTGCCAGTACCATACTGTCTTGATGACTGTGGCTTTGTAGTATAGTCTGAAGTCAGGCAGGTTGATTCCTCCAGTTCCATTCTTCTTTCTCAAGATTACTTTGGCTATTCGAGGTTTTTTGTATTTCCATACAAATTGTGAAATTATTCGTTCTAGTTCTGTGAAAAATATCGTTGGTAGCTTGATAGGGATTGCATTGAATCTGTAGATTGCTTTGGGTAGTATAGCCATTTTGACAATATTGATTCTTCCAATCCATGAACACGGTATATTTCTCCATCTGTTTGTGTCCTCTTTGATTTCTTTCATCAGTGTTTTATAGTTTTCTATGTATAGGTCTTTTGTTTCTTTAGGTAGATATACTCCTAAGTATTTTATTCTTTTTGTTGCAATGGTGAATGGTATTGTCTCCTTAATTTCTCTTTCTGTTTTCTCATTGTTAGTGTATAGGAATGCAAGAGATTTCTGTGTGTTAATTTTATATCCTGCAACTTTACTGTATTCGTTGATTAGCTCTAGTAATTTTCTGGTAGAGTCTTTAGGATTTTCTATGTAGAGGATCATGTCATCTGCAAACAGCGAGAGTTTCACTTCTTCTTTTCCTATCTGAAAACTGTATGTTTTAAAAGAATTATTTTAAAAATGAAAACTCCTATATAGTTTATTCATTTAAACTATGTTATCTGAACACTTGGACCTTTTTATATCTTGGAAATATGCATAATACTATTTGAGGGCATTACTACATTTTAAGGGGAAAAAGTATATTTTTGCCAGAGGACAAAAAAGGAGTTTTGCTAGATATCTGATTCATTTGAAAAATCTTCATGATATTTTTAGCCTGTTTCACTTGAAAATAAAATAGAACCCACAAAGTTGACACAAACTGTGTGTCCAAAATAATGTGTTAGTTGCACAGTCCCCTGGCAAATGAGTGAGACACCACACGCCTTATTATTGCTGCTTTATTTTATTACTAGAACCCATTTACCGCTGTTTTTTACTTTGTTTCCAAAGTAAAGAAATCTGCATCTTGAAATCAGATCTTATCCTCAAAGAAATTTTTAAAAATATGATATGGCACCATCTGACTGGAATATGAATAAAATAAGACAATAAGATATTTGACTCTCATTGCAGGTTTGGCAGCATTTTACTCGTGTTTAAAATTTGTGATTCCCTAATCCCTGGGGCAGAACTCAAGCTACTGAAGATCTGTAGAGGAAAGACTTTTGCAGGCCTGCAGGTGGTGAACGCTGTGATTCTCCTGTTCAGGTACGATGGTTACAAAGAGTCAGGAGCATGATCCTTTCTCCAAGCAGAGAACCCCATCTGGGGCAATGCTGACAATGGCTGGATGTCTTAGAGCTGTGGGGGTGGGTCAGGGCAGCGTCACCGGTCCTTCGCCTGTGCTGCTGGCTTGTTAAGTGACATCAGACCCGCCTTGAAGGACCTGTCAGTGGGGGGATACCCAGATCCTGAGAACACTTGTGAGGTGCGTGTTCGGGAGGGCTCAGAGAGAGGTTTCTGTGGGATGCTCTGAGAGGTCTCTGGGTGGGATTTCTCAGAGTGGGTGTGTGGGAGGTCCCTATGTGGGGTCAGTGTGGGTCTCTGTGTGGGGACACAGTGGGGGACACCCCATTGCTGACCTTTCTGCCCATGAAGGCAGGCAAAGGGCTCGGGGACTCGTTCCTTCTTGTTTCTTGTTGTTCTGCCGGTGTTTGTGGAGAGAGAGCAAATTGGCCAAGATTGCGTGTTCAGGTTCTCTCGCCCCACATTTTGTAAATAATGACTATGTAACAGCTGAGATCATTTATAGCACTGCACATGCCCATCACGAGACACTTTCTTGGTCATGGACTGCTTTATGCAGTACATCTGTAGAAGCTTCACCTGGAAAAGCCTGGAAGGGTTGTTGTGTTAGGTTATGCTATGGCTGCTGCATCAGCCAGGAGAGAATAAATGTGTCCTACAGCTCCTCGAGTATTCTTCCAGCATCTCAGCTCACGCCTTGCCTACCCGGGGTTCAACGAACAGTACAGACAGTGTGAACAGGAAGACAATCGGCGTCACGAACAGGATCAGCAGTACAGTGTCCTTCTGTTTCATTGCTCTGGGCCGGTGCCTAGCGGACCCAGAACCCCCACACAGCACTCTCCTCTCGATGCCCCTCAGAGGACCTGGCAGCATCCAGGCTCAAGGTTCCTGCTCTGGGCCCCCCTCTCCTGAGCTCTGGCGGTCACTCTGTAACCTAGGTCCCAGCCATTCCCTCTGGCCCCAGCGGAGCCCCCGCTGCTGCGCCCACCCTGCAGGATGAGACCCAGAGTCAGGACCTGGATGAGGGAGAAACCACAGTATAAGCAGGCCTGTGCCCACTCTCACACCCCACCCAGGTCCTGGTCCCACCTGTGGGGGTTCTGACAGGCATGGGGACAGGACAATTCCTGCTGCCTCCTGGATCAGGGGAGCCCCCTGGAGCAGGACTCTCCACCGTGGGAGTGACTGACATGGAGCCCTGAATTGCTCTAGGCAATTGCTCCTGTCTCCCGGGGTTTCTCATGCGAAAAGGCCTGGGGAGGAAACCTGACAGCACCCTTGTTCCCCACAGGTCACTTCCTGCCCGCTGGTGACACATCCAGTCTGCTAGTCCCTTCTCCATCTGGGCTCTGTGGTGAGCAAGGCTCAGGGCAGGCGAGACTGGCTACAACTCTAGCACAGTCCCTGGGCCTGTTGAGGCCCACCTGTTCCCTGGGAGCCTCCTTGGGCCACATGAGTAAGGTAGAGGTCACGGACCGCGAGTCTGTCCCGAGCTCCCAGTCCTGTGAAAGCTGATTATTTACACTGTGGAGAAGTGAAGCTTCCCTGCTCAGAGGCTCCACTGCCTCTGGGAGCCTGGCCCTCTGTGGAGGAGCTCCAGGTGGCCTCACACAGTCTGAGCTCTGGGAACTGCAATAGAGGGGAGACTCTGAGGTGGGGCCACCAGGAGCCTCTGGGCCCCTAATTTCTCTCCTCTGGGCCTGTAGTTGTGGTGGGATGCCAGGGGCTCCTTGGTCACTGCACCATCTATGGACACCTCTGCCACCTGCCTTCTTCCCCTGCATCCCACCCTAGGGGCACAGCATCCCACCCTCAGACAGTGAGGTGACTGCACACAATCCTGCCCCTGCTCTTACCCCAGGGGAGGTGGGCGTTGTGAGCAGGGCTGTCCTCTCCTCCGCGGCAGAGGTGGACCAGCCCTCGGGGACCTCCATGCTCCACACTGCACACCCTCAGAGCTGGGAGTGTGTGGTCCTCATCCTCGCCTCTGCTCCAGAGCACGAGAAAGGCAAAGGGAAGATGATGCTTCTGGCCAATCTCAATCCCAGCTCCTTCTAGGAGGGAAGGGGCTTCTAGGGCAGTGTCATGTAGTCCCACCTTGACATGGGAAAGAGGTTTCTCCCTCCTCTGGACTCAGGCCAGCACTACCCCCAAGCTCCCCTCCTTATTCCAACATGTGAACCTGTCTCTGATACTTTCTGAGCCTGAGGGGAATTTCAGCCTCTGAAAGCCCTCCCCACAGCCGCACAAGTTCAAGGTAGACAGAGAGATGGAGAGGACTGAGATGGATCCTGAGAAGGGGGAGGTCTTTAGGTTTAGTTCACCTTGGCATGTCCTGAATGCTGTTGCTCCTTTCTGTAATGCTGGCATTGTGGAAACTGGAGGTGCAGTGAGGGAATGGGGTTAGGATGAGTATCCTACTGAGGTCCACCTCCCTCTATGGCCCTGTCCCATCTGAAAGTCAAAGGCGGCACCTGGGAAGTGTGAACCTTGATCCCTTCCCTTCCTCCTACCAGGGTGCAGAGAGGCATTCACCTTTCATGAGAAAAAAGTTTCACTTTGGGAAACAATAAAATCTGTGGTACAAAGAAGTCATTATCACAGAGAGGATGTGCTAAACTTGAGAGAGAAAAAAATTTTTCTCTTTGCTAGGCATGCATTTTTTTCTTATAGAAAAGTTTTCCCACCAGGAAAGCTGTGACAGTTGTGGTTTGATTAACCAGAAGAGGTTTATTTCTGAAAGAGACAGTGCATTGGACAGTGGAGGGAATAGCCTGGAACACCTGTCACTCTCGATCCATTCTGCTAGCCTCTGCCTGGGTTGGGGGTGGGGGCTGGCTCCCTGGGACTGGTCCACTGGCTCTTTGTGGGACAGCTGTGGCCCATGGGGGTAGTTTGGTGATGGTGGGCTGTATCTACCATCACTCTCCTTTGCTTTTAGTTGGAGAGAAACCTATGGGAGCCATAATGTGGACCTAATGGGTCTAGAGTTCCCCTTTGTACCAGCTTAACTCTGAGGATTGAGGTCCACAGTGAAGCACCACCTTCTCCTCTAGGCTCCATCCAACAGCTGTCACGAAAGCCTGAGCCTCAGAAGTTCTGGTATCATAAGTAATCTGCTTTTGACTTGTCCCTGGCTCTGGGCAGTGGCTGCTGCAGACTTGCCATTTTGCAGTGTCTCTTCCAATCCTTTGCCTTTATGGAGGAAAATCTACTGCAGATGTTGCTTAATCTTTTTTCTCATCCAGTGCCCTGATAAGACTCTCCACTCTGCCAAACATTTTTCATGCTGTCCTAGTTTGAAACTCCTGTGATTCTCTCTCCCACCAGTGGGGACAACTTCTTGCTCTGGCTCTGATGTTGGGGCTGCTGCTCCAGGGTCTCCAGCTGCCCCTGCTTTTTCCCTCCACTGGAACAACTGGTCATAGGGCATCTGGGAATTGGACGTGTCTCCACTGGACAGGACAGAGATCCCTGCAAATACCAAGTGTTTGTAGCAATTAACATATCTGAGTGATATAGTCTTTGAGGAGTATGTTAGTGGCCCAGTCTTGAAGGAGCACTCCCCTGGTCCAGCCTTTTCTTATGGTCTGTGAACCCTTGAAACTCAAGCTTACAAAACTCAGCCTGTAGATTGTCTATATTTGAGGAAACAGACTTAAAAAAAATTAATTTATTTATTTTAATTGGAGGCTAATTACCTTACAGTATTGTAGTGGGTTTTGCCAAACATCGACCTGGTCGCACGTGTATTTCCCATCCAGAACCCCCCCTCCCACATCCCTCCCCATCCCATCCCCCAGGGCCACCCCAGTGCACCAGCCCTGAGCACCCTGTCTCATGCATTGAACCTGGACCGGTCATCTGCTTCGCATATGATAATATACTTGTTTCAACGCTACCCTCTCAAATCATCCCTCCCTCACCATCTCCCACAGAGTCCAAAAGACTGTTCTTTACATCTGTGTCTCTTTTGCTGTCTCGCATGTTAGGTCATTGTTACCATCTTTCTAAGTTCCATATATATGCATTAGTATACTGTATTGGTGTTTTTTTTTCTGACTTACTTCACTCTGTATAATAGGCTCCAGTTTCATCCACCTCATTAGAACTGATTCAAATGCGTTCTTTTTAATGGCTGAGTAATATTCCATAGTGTATATGTACCGCAGCTTTCTTATCCATTCGTCTGCTGATGGGCGTCTAGGTTGCTTCCATGTCCTGGCTATTGTAAACAGTGCTGTGATGAATATTGGGATACACGTGTCTCTTTCAATTCTGAGGAACAGACTTTGTATTCGAGGAGAGGCTTTTATTGCAGCTTAGAGACTGTGATCTCCTCAAATCTATATTAATACTTTTGGATTTTATTAGCACACTAGGTTCAAAAGTACCTTTCCAACCAGGGTCCTCCTCCATGGCCTCTTGTTCCCTGGAAGATTGAGACCATGTGTCAAAGTCCACCACTTTTGCACTAGAGCAAGAGTCTAGGGAGGCCCACCCTGGCCTCCTCCTGTGGCTCACTGATGGCCTTGGACTGGCTGCCTCTGTTAGCTCCCATGACAGACTGTGCCAGATTCTGCCCACGAAGTTATGTTTGTGGGCCTGAGGTGGCTTTCTTCTTGACCAGTCAGAGGGACCTCTGAAGGCTTGTGGACCTCGCCAGGTGAGGGTCCTCCCACAGCCCACAGTGGGCAGGGAGGGGACTCTCCTTGGGGGAAACTGCCTCTGTTGTTATCACTTTCTATCCTGGGTGGGGCTGAGGAGGTTCTCCCAAGACCTTGGTTCACTAGGCTTTTGAGTGGAACCCAGATTCATAGCTTGCTTTCAAGTTAGATCCTGGAAGGGGTATGTGGTGAACCTTTGTCAACTTCAAGCTAAGTATGAACTTGAGGACATTGAGGGGTAGGCCCCATACCTGTGCCTCACCCAAAACATTATTACACGTGCCTCCAGATCCTGCTGAATATAAGGACTGAGGACCAGAGACTCATGGGAGGTATTCATGGAGGCCTCACTATCCTGGGAGGAATCTAGATTTTCTGTTCACTGAGGAGACTTTGTCCAGGAAAGTCTGAGACAAAGTTGTCATCTAGTCTCAAACAATGTACAGCCACAGGGTCTGGACTCTCAGGGATCTGCTCTGCCTTCCTTTCCATAAGGACTCCCAAATCTTATTCTGGATGCTTCCTGCCTGGGCCCAACACTTTTTGACTCAAGCCTCACTCTTGGAACCTTCGCTGTGGTGCTGGCTGAGGTCATGTGCAGATCTTTTAGGATCCTCCCCAAATTCTGATGTATATTGAAAGTCCTTCCCTGGTGGGATCTTTGCTGGGCACTTGGACTGTGCATCCTGGCTGCTTTTGCCTGGACCTGGAGAGGTCCTTGAGGGCGACTTCTTGCCCTGTACCTGACAAGGTCTTGGGAATTGATCCTGAGTCTGTATCCAATCCAATGCTTGCATTCTGCAGGGAACACCACTCTGTTGCTGCATGAACCTTTTGGAAAGGTGGTGCTCCAGTTTCTCTCAAACCTCAAGGTTGATCAAATCCCCAAGAAGGATGGAGACAGAATTGTGGGCCTGGGAAGACCTGTTCTCCTGGGGAAGGTTGGGCGTGACCTGGCTAAACACCTGCTGAGATCTTTTAACCAGAGAGGGTAAAGTTCTTCCACTCTCTAGCTGCTTTTACAAAAAGTGACATTTCAGGATTTGAATTGCATTTGGATGAATGATTGTGCCTTAGTTTGGACTCTAGGACAAGATACTTCACAACACCTAATCTGGCTGAGAAGAGATGGTCAGATTGGAGAATAGGGTTAGACATGGTCAGAGGTCTCTAACTGAACCCAAAGTGGTGGTTGACATTGGGGCATGGCTTCAGTCAAGGATTGAAGTTGAGCCTGGGTCACAGGGTGGGTCAAAAGATGGGCAAATGACAGCTGTGAAGTTACTTTATCCTGAATTTGGAATGGTTCAGCATTAGAGAGCTCATTGACTAAGATAGGGTGTAGCTCTAGAGGAGACCCAAGTACTGTGACAGTCGCCACCAGAGACTCACTATACAGAAAGAGATCCCAGAAGAGCTGGCTGCCTGTCTTCTGTAGATGGTCCCCCAAAATGTCAGGATACAGGGGCTTCTCAGAACCAAGCAGTTGTTCTGGTTTGCCTTTTATGCTCCAGAAGTGTTGGCGACCCAACGTGTCCTGCTTGTCACCAAGCGACTTGATCCTCTTCCCCAAAGAAGTCAGATGGTAGCCTGCCTCCACCTCCTTTTCTTTCTTCTTCCAAATCTTCAGTTCTGCTCTCTTGGTGAGCAGCGCCTCCAACAGCTTCTAGACATCCAGGTTGACAAAAGAGAGGCTGCCAGCCTCTGCCTGTCTGTTTGTGGGGTCTCCCTGAAATGAGACCTCTGGTGGGTGGTGGGGAAGGTGTCCTTGCAGGGACTCAAGTGTATCAAGGTAGAGAAACTTCAGGCTTTGGCAGTCCCCTGCCACCAAGTCAGGGCTGAAAGGGACAGCTTGAAAGAACAAGGCCTGAGATGGCTGGTCTCCAAGGGGAGAAGGGTACGAGCTGCGTGATACGGTGCTCAGTGGGGGTGCTAGGGAGTCATCCCTAGTGAGACACATCATAGAGCCTGGTGGCGAGGGGGGCAGAGGAGTCTGTTATAGCTACAGGGCAGCCCCTGGGTCAGGAGGGCATGGCAGGGGAGGGGAAGGAGCAGGTGGCCGGAGTGAAAGTCTGTCCAGGGGAAGGAAAAGCTCTGGTGCTGAGAGAGAGTCAGGGAGGAATCTGAGTGAACAGAAACTGAGGTCACTGATCTTGGAGAAACTGTGGAGGCCTGAGATGGAGGCTGCTCAGTCAGCAGAGGTGGGGACACGGTGGGAGCAGCCTCTTGCCTGCATGGCTAGTGGGCTCCAGCAAGGGCTTCCTTGCACACCTCGCCAGGGGGTTCTTGAGAGGAGAGCTGATGAATGGTGTTCTTGTCAGTAATCTTCCCCAGGTGTCTGCAGGAGACAGGAGGCACAAGCTGCAGCCAGGAGTCCCTGGGGCCAGGAGGGCTGGGTAGGCCAAGCCAGGGTGGGCACCTACAGCCCACAGCCCTCCCTGGCCCCCATACAACTTCACAATGCTCCTGCTGTCCTCACCCCAGGGCTTTAGATATTCCCCACTCCTCAGGACTCCCCTCCCAACTCAGCCCCAGGCTGCCTGCATCCCTGGGATAACACCAGAGGTCCTGGGAGGAAGAGGAACCCAGGAGAGATGGGGAAGGTTCTTTACCTTTGCAGATGGGAAGCCAAGTCCCGGACCTCTTCCAGTTCTTTCAGGCAATCTCTGCAAGCTGGAAATCAGCAGACTGGGTCATGGTGGTGAAGACGGGGGCCTAGGGGTCTTATAGGAGGTTGAGTACACTGTCTCTTTAAGGGGACACCCCTGGGAGATTGGAGCCCAAGCACCAGCACCCAAGGCCACAGAATGCCTGATAATGATGGTGAAGCTCAGGAAAGGGTTTATCATTTACAAAGTGCTTCCACATCCTTTATCCCTTTCTGCCTTTACAGTGCCTATGGGGAAGAATGCGCAGGGGTCACTTCACAGTGGAATCTGAATGAAGTTTGCGTTCAGGCTCAGAACTAGAGGTCCCACCTCCCAATCCAGGGGCTACTGATTCAGTGCAGCCCACACACCCCTGCTGGGCCACACCCTTTTCCAAGCCCCTCAGGACTTCATCCTGCATGGGAATCTGGGAAGTATTTGCAGTCTGTTCTCTTCCCAGGAGCTACCCTGGGGGTTCTGTTTACCACTGACCTCCCTGGAGCCCAGGGAGCTGGGCCCTCAGGGCCCTGAGAGACACAGGGCTAAACATCAGAACCTACCTTTCAAAGCTCTATCTGTCTTCCTACCCCTGCATCTCCCGCTCAGCTGCATTTGATGCTGGGGGACAGAAAAAACGAAGACCTTGAACCCAATTCTCATTCTCCCCTCTCTAGACAAGCATCAGCTACTCAGGGTCCATATATCATACTTTCTACATTTAACTAACAGAGCTCTGTGGTTTTTCTTTCTTTTTACTCATTTTTTTTTAAAGGGGACAAAAATATTTTGTTTTCCTTCTTGTAGAACGTAAAGTAGGATTTTCACTTTAGGTTTACCCTGGATTTCTTTTCTCACTGTTCCACTGCTCACGAAACACATACATTCTCAGACCCGTGGGCGAATCCGATCTCCCTTAGGTAGATCTCTGCTTCCCAATCCAGAGCCCCACCCCAGACCCTGCTCTGAGGCTCTCAGCGCTTCAGCACTGCCCTCATTCAGCCCCCGTCCAAGACCCCTATGACTGGCGAACCGGTGCTCAGAGTCCTGTACCATAGTTGAGATGAACTAAGTATCCAATCCTCACCCCCTGGTCACTGTATCTGGGACTTTTCCTGAAACCCTCTTCCACACTTGGACACCTGGTCTGAAATATTTGGATAGAAATCCTAGTGCTCACTCTGTCCCCTGCCCAATCTAATTTGTCCCTAGAGGGGTGATGTTTTATTCTTCCTTGAGAATAGATGTTCTGTTCTCTCTCATCTCAAGAGTATCTCCAGCTGATTCAGAAAATTGGAAATAATAGAAAAAAAGAGAGAAACATGTGTTTGTTGATCACGGCCAAGGGTTCCTTACCTTCTTGGTGTTTCTGTGTTTCCTAAGAGGTGGTAAAGTTGGTTTGTTCTGGAGATAGGGATGGAACAGGAAAAAGAGCCCCAGTCCAAGCAGAATAACAAAGATGGTTTCAGTCACCCCGGAAGTGGAACTGGAGTCCAGCCAAGTGCCAAAAGTGCTTCTAAGAGAGCATAGAAGATTCTCCATCATCTGAATCACATTGCTGTCCTCAGGCAACTAAGCACAGGGTGTATCCTGGGGAACTAAAGTCCTAGGTCCCCATCATAGAGCGGTGCTCTGGTCACAAAGGGCTCCTGAGCGTGGGGAGGGGCTACAGGAGAGAAGGCAGTAAACAGCCCCTCCCCAGCCATCCAACTCTGTAGCCCTACTCACCTAACTTCTCATCCTGTTAGAGACAGACATTAGTCAAGTTTCGATTCTTCATACTTGGAACACAGACAATACTTGGTTCCTTTGAGATCTCTGCTTGAGCCCCATCAATACCTTTTCAAAATCTGGAGTTATCCTGGTAGTTTTGGTTGATTCCAGGAATTTTTTACTCTCAGGATGCCCTAGTGTGTAACTCTAAATTTTCCACATAGCATTTTGTGCCTTCCGTCAACCTGGGCATAGAACTTAAATTTCTTTTATACTTCTTCAGCTATGAGAATTTTGAAAATATTTAAAATTTTTAAACTTTCAGTTAATATTCTGATATAGGGACTAGTCAATAATGGGACTGGGACAACTAATTATGGTATCATGGTGGCAAAAGATAGATTCCTACTTTATGGCAAGCAAAGATATCATTTCCTGTTGATTTAAGAATCTAAATACAAAAGGCAAAACTTTAATTTTTTTTTTTTTTGGCACTTGGAAACAGAAGGATATATAGAAATGAACTTTTTAAAAAACAATGAGAAAGCTTAAGCAATAAAAATAGAGAAAAAATTACCAAGGCTTGATTTGTGATGCGAGATGTGATCTATCCTAGAAAATATTTCATGTGCACTTGAGAAAAATGTGTATTCTGATGATTTTAGATGGCATGTCCTATAGATAGCAATTACAGCCATCTGATCATTTAAGGCTTGTGATTTTTATTAATTTTCTGTCTGAATGAGCTGTCCATTCGTGTGAGTGGGGTGTTAAAGTCCGCCACTATTATTGTGTTCCTGTCGATTTCCTTTTTTATAGCTATTAGCATTTGCCTCAAGTGTTGAGGTGTTCCTATGTTTCATGCATATATATTTATAATTGTTATATCTTCTTCTTGGATTGAAGACTTGATCATTATACAGTGTCCTTCCTTGTCTCTTATAAAAGTTTTTATGTTAAAATCTATTTTATCTAATATGAGTATTACGCCTTCCACTTTCTTTTGATTTCCATTTGCATGAAATATCTTTTTCCAGCCCCTCACTTTCAGTCTGTATGTGTCCCTAGGCCCAAAGTGGGTCTTTTCTAGACAGTATATGTAGGGGTCTTGTTTTTTGATTCATTCAGCATTCTGTGTCTTTTCATACATTTACATTTAAAGTAATTGTTAATACGTATGATTCAATTACCATTTAGTTTATTGTTTTGAGTTTGTTTCTATAGATCTTATCCTTCCCTTGAGTTTCCTGCCTAAAGAAGTTCCTTTAACATTTTCATTACAAAGCTGATGTAGTTGTGCTGAATTTTCTTCACATTTGCTTATCTCTTCACATTTGTAATGCTTTTGATTTCTCCATCGAATCTGAATGTGATTTTTGCTGGGTAGAGTTACCTTGTTTGTAGGTTTTTTTCCTTTCATCACTTCAAGTATATCCTGATACTCCCTTCTGGCTACAGTTTCTGCTGAAAGATCAGCTGTTAACCTGATGGAGATCCCCTTGTATATCATGTGTGACTTGTCCCTGGCTTCTTTTAATATTTTTTTCTTTGTGTTTAAGTTGTTAGTTTGATTAATATGTGTCTTGGCATATATCTCCTTGGGTTTATCCAGGGAGATGTGTATGTACCTCTCTAGGCTTCATGGACTTTCGTGACTATTTTCTTTTCGAGTTAGGGAAGTTTTAACTATAATTTTCTCAAATATTTGATCATATCCTTTCTTTTTTTCTTCTTCTTCTGGGACCGCTATAATTCAAGAAGAGTTCCTCTTGATAGATTACAATGCTGTGTTCAGTCTCAAACACTTTTACTTTATAACAAACTCCCACAGGAAGTGTTTTGGCAGTGATGCCACATATATAGAGGTACACTTTCTGCCATACTCACAGCAGGGAAACAGTAGGGAGCATCAAGATCTGAATGATCCAGAATCTTCATAACTGCTTCTGCCTCTTTGAAGTCAGTCAGATTCATGATCTGATGTCCCTCATCACCAAATCCTTCTAGGTTTCCAAAATATTAATTATAGTGTGACTTTTTGGCAAGTCTTTTCTAAGCTCATGACATTTAGATTTCTCAGCCCTCCTGACCTCTTGCTCAGGTTTTTCCATCTTCAAAATTATGTTGACTTATTTGTCTACTCTCTTCTCTCTCTAATTGATTTAGTGAGTTTCATTAGGAAGCAAAAATGTATGATACGTTTAATTAGAAGTCTCCAAGGAGAAAAGGAAGGAAGGTAGGAGAAGAAGGTGGGAGAGAGAAAGGGAGAGAGAGAGGGAGGAAAGAAGAGATGGGTTAGAGACCGAAACTAACTTATCGTCATTTATCAAGGAACTGCTAAGTTTCTTGGTACTAAGGTACTAATTGGAAAGAAGATTCTACCATACTATTCCTTTCTCTTTATTTTTGGTGTGTGAACCTGAAAATGAGCAGAATCTTTGTGATTTGAATTAAAGAGATTAAAAATAAATATAAGCCAGTTACTCATATCACTAAAATTATAAGAATTGTATTATTTCTTGAGTAAGGCAAAAGAATTATACTTGTTAAGCCAAAGCATAATAAAGCGAAAATCCTCACAGTGCTGAAAATATATCTTCAGTAATTTAAATCTATACTTTCAGTTTCTACAAACAAACAAAATATATATATATATAAATGTCATACACTTTATTTTAATTTGGCTATTTTAATATCTGAGTCATAGCATGTAGATCACATTAAAAGGAGAATATTAATCATAAACATATTTGAAGCATATTTTCAATAAGTAGATATATGATCAGAATCTTCAAAAGATTCTTTGAACTACTTGTCTTATAAATATTGCTGAAGATATGTAAGCCTTTAAATATGTATAAATATAATTAAATCAATTCTAGAGAGTTCAACAAGATTTTGTTAATACTAATAATCTAAAAATAAGCTTAGACAGCCTAGAGGAGGGTTGGCATGGGGTGTGGGGAGGGAGGGAAGTTCAAAAGGGAGGGGATATATATATATATACATATATGTGTATATATATGGCATAAACCAACACAATATTGTAAAGCAATTATCCTCAAATTAAAATAAATTAAAAACTAAAATTAAAAATAGGCTCAGGTAATTTAGATCACATTTCTTAAATTAGACTTCAAAAGCATATAAAATTTCACAGTCTTTATGATAAAAAAATTTTCTTTCCTAGGAAATAGTAGAAAATATATTTTGAAATTGAAAGAACTGGATGCTTACAGAAATTACTGGGAAATAAAGTTAGATTGTAAGTGAAGATGCTACACAGTTGAGCAGAACTTATAAGTACATAGACTTGAAGAATGGCAAACACCATGGAGAAAAAATGCAACTAGAAATTGATAGTAAATGCAAGAGATTCGGGACATTGTCAAATTTCCAAAAATATTAAGAAAAAGTTACATCTTTACTATGCATTCCATTAACAGACTTTTTCATGTAGATTTACAAAACCACCAAAGTGATTCATTTGTCCATATGCATGTAACCATTCTTTTTCAGATTCTTTTCCCATATAGATTATTACAGAGTATTGAGAAGAGCTCTCTGTGCTATACAGTAGGTCCTTGTTGATTATCTATTTTATATATGCTGCTGCTGCTGCTGCTGCTAAGTCGCTTCAGTCGTGTCTGACCTTGTGCAACCCCATAGACGGCAGCCCACCAGGCTCCGCCGTCCCTGGGATTCTCCAGGCAAGAACGCTGGAGGGGGTTGCCATTTCCTTCTCCAATGCATGAAAGTGAAAAGTGAAAGTGAAGTCGCTCAGTCGTGTCCGACTCTTCGAGACCCCATGGACTGCAGCCTACCAGGCTCCTCCGTCCATGGGCTTTTCCAGGCAAGAGTGCTGGAGTGGGCGCCGTTGCCGTCTCCGGTTTTATATATATATAGTGTGTGTGTGTGTTAATCCCAAGCCCCTGGTTTATCCAACCTCACCATGTTTCCCCTTTGGTAACGCTGTTTGTTTCTAAAACCGGTGAGTCTGTTTCGCAAATGTATTTTAACGCCTTACTTAATACCAGACTTGATATTATGTTATGATTTATGTAAAACTCTCCTGTTATAGCATGACTCCTTAACGTTAATTAAAGCAATGAAAATAATGAAAGAACTGTCCCTGCCATATCATGTCTTCTCATGGTTTGTACCACAAGTTTTACTGACCATTTTGTCACTCACCTAACTGTGCTTTCTGCTCCTTCAAACCCTCGCTTCAGAATACACCCCATCATTAAGCTCTTTGTTCAAGTGCAGGTCGACTTGTCCTCTTTCACTGATTTTCAGGAGCAGTTTTCTCATTTGAGTTTCAAATCTTTCTGTGTTATCAGTTTCACCCCCAAAGAAAGAGATCCCTTTACATACTCTAGGTACACAATTACACATTTTATGATTTTTATAGTTATTTATATTACAAGGAGAGCAAGCCAGTCAATCCTAGAAGAAATCAACTGTAAATATTCATTGGAAGGACTGATGCTAAAGCTGAAGCTCCAATACTTTGGCCACCTGATGCAAAGAGCCGACTCATTGGAAATGAGTCTGATGCTGGGGAAGATTGAGGCATGAGGAGAAGGGGACGACAGAGGACGAGATGGTTGGATGGCATCACCGACTCGATGGACATAGGTTTGAGCCAACTCAGAGAGATAGTGAAGGACAGGGAAGCCTGGCGTGCTGCAGTCCATGGAGTCGCAAAGAGTTGGACACGACTGAGTGACTGGCAACAACAAAACGCTCAGAGTAGAAACCACACTTACCAAATAGAGAAACTCACAGCCAACAAAAGTCTCCTTGTACTGAGCTGGAGACTCAGGAGT